ACCCCTTCCTCTCATGTCAAGGCCAGGTCTAAAAAAATCCACTTAACCAGTTTTCAGCTCTCTGTCCAGAGTGGAAATAGGATCCCATTTTTGTCAAGAGTTAGCATAACAGCGTGTGTTATCGCTGGATTTACAACTTAGTGACTAAACACTAAGTGTTCCTTATGTCTTGTAGAGTAGACTGTCAAAGATAATCCAGTCTTGCTTCCATGAAGACCAGGGGGAGTGTTTTATTGCAAATCAGGTGTCTGTCTTGAGTTTCCAGGTCTTACTTGTTATTTTTTAAAGTTCCTGAATGCATTTGTGATGCCAGTAAAAAGGGTATCTTATAATTTAGTTAGCTGCTTTACAGTGTCATTTGTTGAACACTTTGGTCAGCCCAGCTGAGGCCTGTAAGTAGAAGAAAGCAAATGAAAGCTAGCGGCCTGTTCCAGTGATAGAGGAATGAATGGTTTGCTTTTTTGTTTCCAGAAGGTGAGGAAAAGTTGGGACTATGTCTGATGGAGACAGTTAAAATTCAGTTTAATTCTGCACGTACAGAAATTAGATTGTACAACTGACTCCAGAATGTCTTAGTTTGTGGTGGCTGAATACCTAGCTTGTTCAGCCCTACAATGCTTAGCACACTGGGAACTACCATTCCTGGCATTGGTAGCTACTGCATTTTTAGCTCTTCTGACACTTGGAGCCGCTGTCAATAGAGTCACAGGAGAGGACTGCCAAGCTTTAGAATTTACACTGCTTACTTGCAAAGCTAATCATTGTGAACACTTAAAATGTATCATGTAATGCAGATTTAAGTGTTTTGGGAAGCTGTAAGTGTCTGCAAGAAGTTGTTGAGCAAACTGCAAAAGGAAAGCAGGTTGGAGAGCAAAAGAAGTCACATCACAAACTTTGGTAGCCTTCTTCTTTTATAGCCGTTTTAAGAACTAGAAGTAATATAACTACACAGGAAATAATGGGCTTTAATTTCAGTGCTTTTTAAGGGTTGGGTTGCTGGTTTGGGTTGGGTTGTTTTTCAATTCAGTTAAGTAGCTTCTTTGCTTAAACTATAGACCTTTTTTTTTTTTTAAGGGAAAGATACAGAGCAAAGAGCATTGCACTTTTTCCAGATAGTAGCACTTCCAGAAAATGATGGCAGGTGTTGAACCAAGTAAACTCTCTGTGGGTGTAATTGGTTTTACATAGATTGTGATTGGCAGAAAGTAGCAGGTTACTGATTGAGTAAGCTCCCTACATAACTTGAGATATGTCTTGCCCACTGTCAAGAGCAGAGATTGCTTCCGGGCCCCTAAAAAGGTCTCTTTTAGTTCTGCTTGTCCAGAAGCAATGGTAACTGTGTACCTTTTGTGCTTCAGTCTGATCTTGCAACTCCGTGCTGCTGAGTTGCTTCACCTAAGGGCCCTTTACAGTCACTTGGGTGTCTGTCTTGTCTCTTTTAAGTAGCTCCTGGGAAGGGGCACTTTAAACAGACTTTTTCACTTCTGATAATAGAATATCTCAAATTGACTCTTTATGTATTGCTTTACTGCAGTTATTCCATCCAGTATTAGAATAGAAGCTGGTCTTTCCTCTGAATCTTATATGCAATTCAGGGTTGTACATTTAGGATGTTAAATCTTTTAAAAGAGTTTGTGACTTTAGGAAGAAAGAAGTACATCAACTGAATTATAATGTAGCAGATTAGGGAAAACAGTTAGTAGATGGACAGCGTAGAGATGGATGGGTATGCTGAAATATTGTGAAAGAAGGATTAAAGCAACCCGAAAAGGATAAATGCATAGGTTTAGACCATTTTTCTACTTAATTTACTTTCTATTGTGAGATAATTTATCTAATATTGCACTTTAACAAGGCAAAAAACTTGTGAGAAAAATGATTTGAGAAACAGCATATTTTTAACTGACAAGAAGTACAAAGGTAGAAATATTAAAGGTGCCTTCCTTTAATCCAATTGTGTTGTATTTCCAGCTTCTTTCTCTTCTATTTGAAGATTTGTTCAAAAAATTTAACTCTGAACTGAAAAAGATTGCTGACCAGGTCATCCCCAAGCAACGTGCAGCCCAGTTTGATGTTGTGAAGCATATGCGTCAAGACCAAATCACCAATGGCATGGTCAATGCCATATCCACAGTAAGTATTTTTGTTTTCTTTCTAGTATGTAGAGTTTTTCCACCATAGTGAATGATGGAAATGTGTAAATTTTGTTCTGATGACTCTTCTATCTTTGGTCATAAAAGCAAATCCATTTGACATTCTTTACAGATTAAACTTGCAAAACTCTGTCAAAGGCAGGGCTTTTGGAATTCACTAAAGAATCATTAATCATCAAACCACTTTTTATTTCAACATTTATTTCAAGGTGATGTTTTAGTATTTGTGAAGGAATTGTAGAAACAGTAAAATTTAAAATAACCATGTTTGTGTTTATCCAACTTACTGTCTTCTAGATTCTACTTGACTATGTGTTTCATGGTATTTTTTTATTATCTGGATTTAGCTAGTGTCAGGTTACATTATATGTCCAAAAGGTGGTTGAAAAACAGCAGGAAAACATCAGGAACAAAAGGCAACTGGAGGGGAGTGGGAAGCAAAAAGAAAAAAAAAAAAAAAAAAGTGCTTCATTTTGAGCTCTTTAAGAGTGGTACCTTTTTAGTCATATGAAGTTGCTAGTATGAGCAGATTTGCATCATAGAAATTAGTATATCTCTGCTAATGATACTGAACTATTCAACATGGAAAACTGCTACATACCACATTATTGGAAAAAAGAAAAACATAATTAAGCCTTTAAATATTTGTCTTGGTTAGATTTTAGCCTATGTCTGCCTTTACTAGAATGGATATTTTCATTCATGCCAGTGGACAGGAACAAAAACGCGTTACTAACTTTGTCTCTTCACACATCTGCAAGAGCAATTTGTGAGATAGTTCCTGAAATCTAGCTACTAGCTTGTAAACGACTTTGAAATCCATTATTTTTTAAGAAATTAGATTAGTCTGAGTATTTTAGTAGCTGGTAAAAATTGTGCAACTTAATTTTTAATCTTTGGAACTCTTGAGAGGGCTGTTCTGCCTATTATGAAACTGAGGTTTCTCTTCAGTTCTTGTAAACAAAATTAACTCCACAAATTGTATCCAAAACCACCAACGGTCTGTTACTTACAAATCCCAGTGTTAAAGCTTATCATTATTTAATTTTACGAGTGCCCCAAATGTAGTTAAATCTCCACAGTGCACGTAACCAAAACAATTGACAGATTTATTTCTCTAAATGCTAGTGTTTTCTTCTAGCCAGTGCCAGTTTTTCCATTTGGACTGACAGAGATAAATCTGCAAACTATTCAGTACATATTGTAAAGTCTTCCTTCTTCCACTATCTTTGGACTTTTTTTTACTGCCACATAAGCAGTTAAACACCATCTGCTCTTAAGCATTGAAAATAATTTCGCAGGAACAATGGCCAGTACATACTATTCAAGAGATTAAGCAAATACCATAAAAATCATTCTTGGAAATGACGATCTCCAATCTCACCAGAATGCTTCAGTGATAGTCTCAAAGAGCTGAAATAACTCAATGGATTCATAATTACACCAGTAGCATGCAACAGAATTCGTAGCGCCACTACAGCAACTGTGCAGTGATGTTCAGTCATGTTTTCTGTAGGTCATCTTTTTACCCAGGAAAATACCAGAAGAGAGGGTAGGTCAGGCA